CTCTTAATGTTTTGAAAATTATGTTGATAAACATAAATATTATAAAAAAAAACCTCAGTATTTTTTATTTAAATTTTAAATATTTTCTTCACATTTGAAATGCTCTTTAAATTTTTATTATAAAAACAAAACTTTTAACAAATAAAAATTAAACTACCGTATTAAATATTTTTCAAATATTTAGAGGGGGCGGCTGGCCCCCGCCGCCCCCCCTTGTCCTTCATTGGCTCCGTCCTAGCAAATATGAGAAGTGATTCATATTTTCTAGATGGGCAGAAGGTGCAATTCAGCCCCTCTACTTCTATTGTTGTGGCATATCAGCTCCTTTACTTAAAAGTAGTGGAAATCAGCCCCTCTACTTGACAAAACCAGCAACTCAGTCCTTCTAATGATGATGACATCATCAAATGTCATCTTTTCGTCTACATCCTTGTTACTGTGTTACCAAGGAATGGCTTGGTGCTAGTATGGCATTGGGTGGGTGATGTGGCTAATTTAAATTATAAAATTACTAAAGAATCCTTGTCTACTTCCTTTTCTTCCATTGATCTTCTCTCTTATCCTTTACAATCTCATTTCCTACTGCATAACTATTTTTTTCACAGAGATTCAAGCTGAATTTTTCTTCATACAAGTCTAAACCCAAAAAATTATTTCATAAATCCTCAAAATATGAAAATATAAGAATTAAGAAAATGTTCAAAATTAAAATCAAAACTTTTGGCTTTGTTGACATCAAGTGATCTGCTCATGAAGTCTTTATCTCCAGTAACTTAAAATTCACTTGACTTTATTTTACATAAAAGTATATGTAATATTTATTTTTTTCAGAAAAATATCTCTAAAATAGATTCATATATTTTTTAATAAAAACATAAACTAAAAAAAAAATATGAATTTATATGTGCTCCTTTATTTTTCAAACTAAAAAATGGATTTGTATTGCTGAAGCAACATCCTAGTACAAATAAAAAACCTTCTGCAATAAAGGAGCACATGTGAATTCATAATTTTTTTTTCTTTCTTTTTTTTGTTTGTGTTTTTATTAAAAAAATATATGAGTTCATTTTTGAGATTTTTCTAAAAAAAATAAATATTACATGTATTTTATGTAAAATAAAGTCAAATAAATTTTGAGTTACTAGCGATGAAAACTTTAAGGGGCTAGTCCCTTGGTGTTGCAAAGCCACAAGTTTTGATTTTAATTTTAAACTTTTTCTTAATTTTTATATTTTCATATTTTGAGAGTTTTTTAAACAATTTTTTGGGTTTAGACTTATATAAAAAAAAAATTCAACTTGCACTTTTGGAAAAAAAAAGTAGATATGCAGTAGGAAGAGAGATATTGTAAAGGAGAAGAGAGAAGTTCAATAGAAGAAAAGGAAGTACATGAGGGCTCTTTAGTAATTTTATAATTTAAATTAACCGCATCACCCACCCAATGCCATATCAGCACCAAAGGTATTCCTTGGTAACGGAGTCATAAAGACGTAGACAGAAAGATGACATTTGATGATGTCATCATCAGCAGAAGGATTGATTTACTGGTTTTGTCAAGTAGAGGGGCTGATTTGCATTACTTTTAAGTAGAGGAGCTGATATACCACAACAATAGAAGTAGAGGGGCTGAATTGCACCTTCTGCCTTCTAGATGTGATTACTAATTCAAAGTGGGATTTAGGTATTCTAGTTGTTCTTTCAAGAAGCTTCCTCATTGCCCACCATCAAGGACTAGCAAATATAAAAAGAGACTTGTATTTTTTAGATCTGGTCAATTCATATTTTCTTGATTTGATCAATTCATATTTTCTAGATCTGATTAATTCATATTTTCTAGATTTGATCAATTCATATCTTCTAGATCTGATTACTAATTCAAAGTGGGATTTAGGTGTTCTAGTTGTCCTTCCAAGAAGTTTCCCCGTTGCCCACTATCAAGGACTAGCAAATATGAAAAGAGATTCATATTTTCTAGATTGATTACTAATTCAAAATGGGATTTAGGTATTGAAATTATTAAAATGTTATTAATAAAATAATATAAAGAATAAAAATATTATAATTATAATATCACATAATATTTGTTGTACCTATGATTTTGATGATTACAAAACACATT